GACACATTGCTCTGCAAGCTGTGACAGGGGCAGGTGTGTGGCAGCCAGTCTCCAGGGACCATGTCTGCAACTGCTGAAGCTTCAGCACCCCAGGGGACAGCCACCTTAAGAAACCAATTAGCCAAAGTGCGAGTGTCAGTCAACCTATGCAGCAAGAAGGGAGAGAGGCAAGGCTCTGGATGAGAGGGAGACAGCAGTTCAGAGACTGTTTATTAATGTCTTGACCGAGAGAGGAAGGCCCTGGATAGACAGGAGTGGTCAGGACTAAAAGTGAGCTGAGATGGCTTAAGGGGTAGATTGCTCTGGTTCATTTTCAGCGTGAGGTGTGCCCAGAGCACATCAGAGTGACAGGCAAGCAGGAGGCACCAGGCCCTCCCTTCCCTCGCTGACTTTAGCACCTGCTGGTCTCAGAACTTAGAATTGGAGAGTTACAGGCAGTCTGCTCTTTGACTGAGCCCATGAACGGAAAAAAGGGGGCAGTCTCAAGCCCCACATTACTCATTAGATAAGACTTCGTGTAGTGATATATTGTGTATCAAATAAAGCTTGCTTGAGGATCAGAGGACAAAGCCAGCCACTAGATTAAACATAGAGGCTGGAGAATGGTGGCACATGACTAGCACTCGGGAGGTAGAGATCTGTCTGGATCTCTGTGAGTTCAAAGCCACCCTGGACTCCATGAGATGCACTCAGTCTAGGAAAGAAACAGAGACAGGCAGTGGTGGCACACGCCTTTAATCCCAGTACTTGAGATCTCACACCTTTGCTTGGGACACACACACACCTTTAATCCCAGGAAGTGAGATGGCAGGGTGGAGAAAGGCATATAAGACTTGAGACAGGAACTAAGAGTCTTTCCGCTGGGGACACAGAAGCAAACGGTCAGGCTCTTTTGGCTGAAGCTTTCCAGGCTGAGGAGTTCTAGAGACAAGATGTGGTGGTGGCTGGTTCTTTGTCTCTTTGATCCTCAGGCAAGCTTTATTTGATACACAATATATCACTACAGCTTTATGTCTTAAACCAATGAGATGGGGAATTTAAAATGAGGGGTAGGGGGAGTCCTACTGGCCTATGGGAGAACTTCTCTCAAGCCAGGACTTTAAAAACCACTATCTTATGTCAAATCAGCACACAGACCAGGCCTGCTTTTTGTCTGTGCTGACGTCCCTCTCTTCGGAATAGTATGTTAAAAACAGCTTTGAATGGTATGCTAAAAATGGCTTCATTTCCTCCTGCCTCTCGGATTTATTATCTTATTCCCAGCAATGCATCCAAACACTTCCCTCCATCGCTGCAGATTTCACCTTCCCATTTGAGAACACCACGGAGTTTTTCCCAACTAAACAATGCATAAAGGTCCTTTAAAAGGCTGTTAGTGCTGGGATTGGTGGTCAACACCAGTTATACCAATTGGTACTTGAGAGGCTAACACCAGTAATACCAGTCAGTACTTGAGAGCTGAGACAGGAGGATTTTGAGTTTGAAACCAGTTTGTCTCAAAAGCCCATTTTGTGTGTGAGAGAGAATGGTACTCTTCACCTCGTGAGGTCCAGCCTTCTGCAAGGAAGATGCTGGGAAAGGAGTGGGAACAGTAGATTTAGATGAGTCCTCTTGATTTAAAATAAAAGAAAAATCACTCCTAGGAGGCTGTGGAAGACGAGTACCAGAGTTGGCCCCACAACGGCAGAAACAAAAGAGGAAGCGCATTGTCCCATGGAGGTGTTTTCTAGTTTCTGTCCCTAAAATATCTTTCCCAACCAGAGCTGGAATTCTCAAGTGCAATAAATAAGTCTCAAACAACTTCGAGTGTCCCAGAGCACCCAGCATCATCCATCACGGGTAGCTTGTGGGATTGCATCATAGCTTCAGCTCATCTATCAGTTAGGTATTGACTAACCCAGCAGGTAACTGCGAAGTGGGAAGAGGAGGCTTACTGGTCACACCTTCCCTCTGATCCCGTTTGTGCCTAATGTGTGCCATGCTCTGGCTAGCACTGTGGATCCGGGACACTCTAAATCGTCGAGAGCTCTGTGGACTTCCCAGAGGAGCAGCTTTGTGAGGCTGAACACAGAATCTACATTCTTCCTGCACTCTTAGGGGGTAGGTTTACCGCTGAAGTCATTGTCCCTCTCTTCTCAGCCTTAACCCTCTGCAGAGTCTGGTTATGCTGTTTAGGTTTGTGAAGTACAAATTAGCATAATCCGATTAGATTAGCCAGTGAGGGGGGGCCTTTGGTCTGAAAAGCAGAGAGAAGAAAAGTGGCCTACAAAGAGGGGAGCCTGGAGGATAGGAAGGGAGAGGTGGCCACTGGCCTCCGGGCTGCGGGCGGGCGGCCTGAATGCTTGCACCTGCACAAGCCCTCTTGTAAATAAGGACTCTCAGATGGTATTAGACAAGGGACGGAGGGGCCCGGGGAGCCTGGGGGAGGTAAGCATAGGGAGGAGAAAGGCAAGATGGCAGCTCTGCATTAATTGATTTATCTGGATTGCTAGAGCAAGGGCTGCTGACGGAGGAGGGTGACGGGCTCGCTCCTACTCAGCACTGAGAGTGTTAGCCTCCTAATCTGGTCTATGGAGATAACATCTGAGAATCTCTGCAACAGCCTGATAAGGGGTTGACTCTATACGATAAGGGAATAAAGTTCAGTGGGTGTTTGATTCTAGTCGTTTCTGAATTTGGACGTCTGCATCCTTCCTTTGCTTAAGGAAAAGACAAAAACAGAAAAAGAAAAAAAAAGGCTATATGGTGGTACAGATGGTGGGAGTCATCTTTGGCTGTTGGGTAACTTCTGTTTAAAAGCACAATAGACAAACTGAACGACCCAGTGTTTTTTAACAGGCAAAGTCAGGGAAATTGACTGATACTACTTTTCTCTATAGTTAGGAGGTATGATCAAGTTTTTCATTTTTTTGAAACATAAAAAAGGACTCCATGTTCACATGAATAAATAGTGAGTCTCAATCAAGTGATGTGTATGTGTGTGTGGGGGGGGGTGCCTGTACCCATGTGTGCCTGTTGAGACCAGAGGTTAATGTTGGGTGTCGTCAGCTAGCACCCACCGTATTTGTTGATTCATTCAGTATTTAGAAACAGGTTCTCTTAGTGAACTCAGCACTTACTGATTGACTAGACTAGGACCATCAGCTCGTAAGCTCCAGGGATCTGCCTGTCTCTGGCCCCCTACACCAGTGTACAGATGCATGCTGCCATGCCCTGCTGTCTGTGTGAGTGCTGGGGATCTGAACTCAGGTTCTCATGTTTATGGGGCAGGAATTTTACTGTCTGAACTTGTCTCACTGGCTCCAGTATCCACATAAAAAACAGATGTGGCAGCTCACATCTGTAATGTTAGTTGCTTACAGAGACAGGTGGATCCCTATAGTTCACTGGCCAGCCTGGCTAAAGGTTCTATTATTTTTTATTTTATGTGTGCGTGGGTTCATGTGAGTGTGTGTGTGTGTGTGTGTGTGTGTGTGTGTGTGTGTGTGTGTGTGTGTGTTTATGCACTCACACGCGTAGATTCTGGGGCCCTGGGATTGAGTGTGGAGATTGAAAAACAACTTTTGGAGTCTGTGGGTTCTGAGGATTGAACCCAGGTGCCCAGGCTTACTTGGCAAGCATCTTAAACTGCTGAGCCATCTCATTGCTCCATTTTCTATTCTAAAAGGCAGAAGAAAAAGTAAAAGAAACTTTGCCTTTCCCGAAAAGCTGACCTGGTTCAGAGCCTTGCCTTCTTGGTCACTACTGGCCTGGTCGTAAGTTTTTCTGCTAGACTCTTCTAGGTCACAGTTTCCTGTAACTGTAGCTTGATAAACAGCATCATTAAATAGTGGTTAGAAGGATTAAAAATGGCATGTATTATATCCTTGACCCTGTGAACATGCAGTGAGAGTTACCAGCATTTACTGCAAGTGTTTATACTTTAGTTCCTTCTCAACCCAAATCCGAGTATTCAGATACATTTACATCATGTGTCCAAGAGGTGGATCATGAGGCCCATGATGCCCATGAACAGACTGCAGAGAGGTGAAGTCCCTGCAGCTACCTTCTCCTTTTTACTTTCTCGGTCATTTTTCCAGTCCATGTGTCCCACTCAGTTTCCACAGTGAGTGTTTCTCCTCTTGAAGTCAGAGCCCACATCCTCTCAGGGAGCAACAGAGGATAGGTTGCCAGTTGCTTTTAAAAATCTCTGCAGCCTGGGAAGGCAGGGAACAAAATAACCCCAGTGTGAAGAGAAGCTGAGTTCTTGGGGCCTCCTGTCCAGAAGAAAGAGTAAGAAGCAGGCAGGCAAGATGGAAGCTCTTTAGTCTCCATGAAAGTGCTGTATGATTTGCAAGTCTGCGGGATACAGTATTAAGAGATTAAGAAGGAGGAAGAAAAAAAGAATACACAGTTTTATTGCATATACCCACTGATAAAAGTGGGTAGAAGAAGTAGCGTGGATGGATAAAGTAAGTGGAATGAGTTTTTTGTTTATTTATTTAGGAGCTGGGAATTGACTTAGAGCATGAACCATGTGCTCTACGATTGAGCTATCTCCCAGACTCAGTACAATTTTGTACCTTACGAGTGAATTAGATCCTCAAAAATATCTTCAAAGGTGTTGTATGATCGCCACAGTTTTAGCTAGAGTGTTAAAGGGAATCTAAGCTACCTGATCCTCTGACCTTCTCCTGTTACTCACTGGTGCCAATGAAGAGTTAGAGGACAGCGCTACCAACTTTCGTTGATAAAACCTCCCCCAACTCAGCATCGCTTAGACACTACACCACTCAGGTGACAGATATCTCATCCTTCCAGGGAATTTCCAGGCACCTTGTCTCACTGCTGACAACTCTTTCAAAATCCACCCTCTGTGCAGTCCCGAGACGAAGTTCAAGGGGGTCCGCACATCCGAGTTTCTGGTGTAATTGTACTCTTGCAGCTATGCTGTGTGCAGGGAGAAGACATCGCAAGGCCACATAGACAACATATACGCACATACATATACACACATAAGGTAGAATTCGATCTACATTTATTTAGTGGAATATTAAAACAATACACTGGAATTAACAGCTGACTTCTGGAGTAGATACAAGTTCTTTCAACATAGTACTCCGTTTATCCCAAAGTAGAATCTGGTCACAGTGGTCATGTGACTGTGTACAAGAAAGTTTTCTTTTTTTGCAGAAAGAAAACGTTTATTCCCTTTTATTTTATGTGTAAGGATGTTTGCCTGCATGCATGTATATGCACTACATGCAAGCCTGGTGCCCACAGAAACCAGAAACGGGCATCAGAGCCCCTGGAACTAGAGTTACAGATGGCTGTGAGCTGCCATGTGGGTCCTAGGAACTGAACCTGAGTTCTCTGCAAGGCCTAGCAAGGACTCTTAACTACTGGGCTATCTCTCCCACTCCTTTTCTAGTCCTTTCAAACCTAACACATGTACATGATTAGCTATCAAAAAACAACACAAAGACTTACAGAGAGCAAGAATGTACCTTATATGTGGTGAAGAAGAACATTTTGTGCAAAGCCTTATCCTCCTTTCTCTCCAACTCCAGAGAGTCGAGACCAGGAGAGCAGGAGAGATGGAGGGGCCACCAAGGGGAAGGGGAATATAATGAGCGTTTGAAGTGGCCTGATCTGGCCTGCTTGCCCTTATAGAGCAGGAAGGCAAGCTGAGGCAAACAGGTCTGTTGATAGGGACTAGAAAAAAAAAAAAACACATCAAACCGTCTCACGCTGGTGCCTATAGGTGCCCACCGTGGGGCTGCCTGTGATACTGATGGCATCACATTTGGTACAGCTGTCTTTCAGAGGTTCATTGGTGGTAACCACTGCCTGGTGCTTCTGGGGCAGGAAGCTTCCTCTTCCTAAGGACTTTGGTGCTTATTTACCTAGCAGTGTGTCTCTGGCTGTGAGGTTACATGGATATGGTTAGAGTCAAGAAGAACATAAGACTCGGATGTAAATAAAACAGTGTGAAAAGTCACCCTGTCTTTACATGATGCAATTCTTCTGTGCAGAAACAGCTCAGAGGAACGTTCTGATTCAGCAGTGTGAACCCACAGTTATATATTCTTAGATATTTTGTGAAATGGCAACAATAATATTGATATAATACATGCATGTAATTAGGGCTGGGGATGTGGTTCAGTAGTAGAATGCTTGCTAAATATGCTCAAGGTCCCAGATTCACTCCCCAGGACCACAAAAAGAAGTACATATAATTAATAGAATACAATTAATGCTGTATTAGCAAATATAATATTATTATAAAAATTAGGTAAGCCAATATACTAGAAGTTCTTAGGGTCAATGTCTGGCAGAGAGTGAAAACTTTGTCAGTCTTATTCTTAATATTATACTCATGTGTTCCTTACATATAATTCTGAAATATTCATATCTATAGTTCTTTGAAAAAGAATTTTTCCCAGAGACAAGGTCTCATTATGCGGCATAGGTTGTGAATTCTGGAATGGAAGATATCCTTTTGTCTTACTTGTGATATAGTAAGGACTACTGGAGATTTACGACTTTAAGATCATGCACATACTTCTTTGACCAGAATTCTGATTATTTCTTTATATACTTCTTTCTGTGATTACTTAGAACAAATAATGGGATTGCATTCACTATAGTCCACATTTTCAATACTTTTCTAATGATGACCATTAATAGTCTACCAAGGAAATTTCTCGAGTGGGAATTTCTAAAGTCTTGTAATAAATGTTACTTGGTAAATTATGAACCTAACTGAAACTTATGTATAAATCTGGTGTCTTTAGAACTTCTTTATGATACACCATTAGCGAAGATAAGATAAGAAAATGAAGTCATGCATGACTGTCTGTCTCCAGTAAGCAGCAAGTGGGCACAAGAAGACATTGGGCTGGGGAGGCCTTGCCACCTCCGGCCTCCTGAGATCCCAGAGGACATTCTAGCCTTCGAATTCCTTTTGAAACACCTGCTGCAAATCCCTCACTTTGCATTGCTATTGGCCTTTCAGATCCCTCCATATCATTGACCTCTCTAGGGAAGGATGTGACTTTTGACTAACCTTTGGCCTAGGTCAGCAGTTAAGCTGACCATTATCCCCAGCCTCTTTCATCTCTTGCCTTTTAAGGACAATGCCAGTCGTGCATAACTTAATACTTATTTTGGCCAACTCAAGCCATTCATTCTTAGGTGATGAAATTCACAAGGCAGGTGCTATAAGGGGTATTCTTGGATGGTAATTATGGGAAGCTTTAAAGAGAAGCATTAGACTGAGCTTCTCAGAGGGAGAAAAAACAGCCTGTGCAGCTTCATTTTAATGTCTTGTCTCCCCCCACCCCCACCCCAGGGGAAGCCAACCATATTCTTGACATGGATAGTCTTGGAATCATTTTCACATTTTAGAAGTAGAGGCGAGTTGCAGGGCTACAGTAAGGATTAAACATCAGAATCCATCCCTGTACTCAAGTGGATTTCAGCTTTTCAGAAAGAACAGGATATACACAGGTGTCCATAATACAAGGCAAAGGAAAAGAGGTTGTAAGTCAGATAAGGGAGATGAGGAAACAGTGAGTGGGTCGAATAGAACTCTGGGACGCTGTGTAAGAGTACGTAGCCAGGGGCTTGTTGGCTCAAGCCTGCAGTCCCAGAGCTGGGGAGGTGAGGAAGGAGGATGGCCAGGAGGTTGAGGTCAGCCTGAGCTACAGAGTGAGTCCTCATCTCAAAAAGGGTGAGGGGAAGGAATGGAGGGTGGAAGGGGGTTATATATTAAGACCAACCATGAAGGATTTAGTGTCTGAGATTTGATACAGATGGAGAGGCAAGTGGAAGGAATGAGAATGGAACAAACAATTGAAATCACAAGGCTAAAGGAAGACGTAGAAAAAAGGCATCATTGAGTGAAGCCATTTTATTGCCCATGTAACACGTGTAGGGTTTGTGGGAAAAGGAGAAGGTACGATGGGGCCAGGTTTGCAGGTGGCCTAGCTCTTGCAATGTCTGTTTGTGTGGTAGATGAACTGAGGGTTCAGGAGTATGGAAGCAATCTGACCACAGCTGTGATTTGAGGACAATTAGGAAGCCATATGAATCAGGTGTAGTGGCACCTGCCTGTAATCCCAGCATAATCGAGGCTGACATAGAAGGATCATAAGTTCAAGACCACCAGGGTCTTATGTGGTAAAACTGTCTAAAAGGGGGGAAAAAAGAAAAGAGAGGGGGACAGAAGAAAGCATGCTGCTGTGAGGACATGGGGAGAGGGGAGAGACATCAGTTGATGCTATTTTTTTCTCTAAACTAAGGACAATGAGTATGGAAAGGGTTTTCTTCCATATCAGGACAGTGACCATGAAAGTGGAGAGATGGGATGGATATGCTTAGTAAGTTTATGAAATTATACCTAAAAATAAAAGAACAATTATTTTCTTAAATAGTTTATTTGTAATAAGTTAACAGTTAAATAGCAAATTATTATCAATGGTTAAGAACTCACCAAACACATCAACAGATAAAAATCTTTGGTTAACACAGCTACTCACATTCTACAGAGCAGGATAATTTCATATCACAAAAAAGCATATGAAGATCACTAATTGCTTTTAGGGAAAGGTTAACATAATGATAAGGCGCTTGTTCCTTTTCAATCTCAACACACGGTGACTGATCAATGCTATGGACAGGCTAGAGAGAGGATCAGGAGACTGGCATCTGTGTCCTAGATTTCGGCTGATGGCCCATGAGACAGACCTGTTTTCTTCTCTGTGAAATGGAGTAACACAGTCAATATAAAGCAAGGCCCTGCTTGAATATGGTTTCTACACATTTCCATTACTGTCCAACGCAGACCAAGTGCTCACTTTAATTCAAGGAACAGAGAAGCATAGTTAGAAAATTTGGCTTAACTCTTCTGTTAGACTCAAATGGTCTGTAAACAGAAGTAGCACCCAGCAGACGGTAACGCATTTGAACTATGAAGTCTTATGGCTAGGACCACCAAAGGAAACCGTAGAGGGAGTTCTGAATTAGCTTCCATTCTCACACACATCATGACTAGGTTTTGGACTACATGAGATTACAGTTGTTTTTTGGTTTTGTTTTTTTTTTGTGTGTTTGTTCGATAGTCATGTTAATCTAATTCAACTTGAAACAGAAAATTAAAGCTGAACAAATATTGTAAGGAGTACATCACATATAATAACATTGTAGAGGTTTACTCATCTATGAAAGGATTTCCTCTCGGGCTTCTTTAGATAAGTATCCCCTCCCCCCATTTACTGTAATGATAACTCAACCTCCTCACATCTTTTTGGGGTCCTTGTAAGCACTCCAGTGGGAGGCCCTGGTTAAGCACAGACAAGAGCTCATCAGGAAAGTGAGTGTGTTCTGTGTAGAGCACAAAAATGTTGCATTTAGGGACAGAGGGCCTCTGTGCTTTCTTCATATTCACAGAACCTATGTAAAAACAAAACCACTGTCAGACGTATTTTATTTAATGTACCAGATGAGAGGGTAGTGTTACTTAGTTGACAACTACCATAAAAACTTTGAAATGTCCCACTGCCTGGCAATTTGGGGACAACCTTGAACTTCCCCAAACTGATGAGAATGATATACACATCTGGGGTGGAAGGAAGGACTCGGCCAGCCTCTGTGCTTACCAGTCTCCAAAAGCTATGCTGTTTCTGTGGGGAAATTGATCTAGTGCAGGTTAAATAAAGGATTTGGAGGGAAACCCGTTGTTCTACAAGTGCATCGGCTAAAACGACCTTAATGATGCAGTTACTTTAGAATACTTTCTAGAGAAACAAGAAGTTTAAATTCCTGTGTTGTGTAGACACTGGGAATTCATAACCACAATCCATAGATTTCCCACCTGTAATTCAGAAGATCATAAAGCCAAAAGAACTCTGGGGAAATAAAATGTCCCAGATAGACATCTACATTTGGGGCTCAGCTACCAGATTTATCTTTGAATCCAAGTACCATGAGGCCCAGAATGGTGTGTGGTGATGACTGGAGCATCCATAGGGCTCCACCCCTGCCTCCAGCTTAAGACCAAGCTGATGCTCCCTGGGAGACAGGAAGTGAAGCTAAATGCACGAGGTCATTAGCATCTGGTCCTTTATTTCTATTGTTTGCTCTCAACAAAATAGAAAATGGCAACATTTGGGTTTTCATAATTATCAAATTGTACAGGACTTAAGTCAGCAGGAATGTGGGCTGAATTAAACGTTTTAGTACCCAGTGTGTCAGTCTAAGTGGTCTGCTCACTCATTTTAGCTAACTTCTAATAAGAAAACTATGAAGTCTAGTTCCTAAATTACCAAGGTTTTTCCTGGAATGAATGCAATCCACTATTTGGTTTCAGAGGTTCAACTAAAGTAGAAGATCATGATTCTATAGAGGTCGAAGGATATGGAGACTTTCACATACATAATTCCTCACTGCTGTGCTCCGAAGGGACATCCCTCCAGAGATGGCCCCACGCCTCTCCTGTGTTGGTTTCCACAGCGGCTACCTTTTCATTCATCAATCTTAAGATTTCTTGTATGTACCCTCAATAAACATGTCTCCTTTTTCAAAGCAAACTTTTAAATATATTCAGAGGGCAACAAGCTTTGCTCATTCATCTGAGATCCAGTAGAAGGAAATCGTCATTAATGAAGTCATGAGTGAGATGGCAGTTTTAAAAAGAAGGTTGTTTTGTTTTTTGCAATGATCTCGTGCAGACTTATAGAACAAGTCGTTCTGCCTGAAGTTCTGAGGTAATGAGGTCAGAGCAACATTCCTCAAGTCCTTTTGCAGATCTCAGCTTCTGTCCCAATCACCTCCTGCGTCATACCTCTCCGCAGCATGAAACCACAGGGCTCTGCAACCAGTACTGCCCTGGGGGCTGACCGGCACAGCCACCCTAGGGAGCCTCATGGCTTGGGCCAGGGTCATTGAGTAGAGTTCTTTCATCCACATCTGGCAGGTGGGGCCTTTGGGGAAAGAGCCCCAGAATGTTTCCCTGAGCAGCTACTCCTGTTTGCTGTAGGCTTTGCTCTCCCAAGACCTTGACCAAGAAGTTGATGTACCTCATTGCCAAGCGAAGCGTTTCATTTTTGCTCAGCTTCTTGTCTGGAGGGTGAGTGGGGATCAGTTTCCTCAGCTTGGCGAAGGCGCTGTTGACGCTCTGCTGCCGCCACCGCTCCCTGGTGTTTGTGAAGATCTTTCTGGTCATGTCCAGGTTCCTGAGATGGAGAGAAAAGGGAATTTGGTGGCCAAGACATTGCAAGAGGCCCAGTGACTATCACATGTTCTGCCAAGAACCTGCAGTGTTAGAGCTTCTCAACTCAGACGTTAGGAAATCCGTTTTGAGTGTTTTAGAAATGTCTTTTTGAAGAAGAAAAAAGATGGCAGAGGAAAGGGCAAAAAGAAGAACCCTGTAGCCTTTTCTCCCTGATTGTTTTGAAGTCACCATTACAAAACTGTATTTAGTTCCTCCCTTGCCCTCCCCCAATGCACCCACACTTTTGAGGCTGGGTCTCATGTATTCGCAGCTTCCATCAAACTTACTATGCAGCCAAGGACAGCCTTGAACTTCTGATCCTCTTACTTCACCTCCTGAAAGCTAGGATTACAGGCATGTGCCACCATTTTTGGTTTATGCATGCTAGGGATTGAGCCCAGGGCCTCAAGTTTGCCATGCCGCACCGACTAAGCGACATCTCCAACCCCACTACTTCCTTTATAACCCGTCCCTCCCAGCTGATCAAAGTCATCTACAATGTGGAATTGAGTGCATATTTATCCCAGAAAGTGTTGGGTGTGAACGTGCAGTGTGTCAAGAGCTTTTAAAAAGAGAGAAAGGCTGCACCCCGGGGTTTCCTCAATAAAATGACATTTGGAATGGAGAAAATGGGACAGTTTTCCTTGTTTTAGCTGACCTTAGCTGGAGGGTTTCGCTCCAATCTCCAGCAGCTAGAATTGTTCACACGGGAGCACATTTGGAAGACTGTGAGCAGGGGGAGAAAGGGCTGTGATACCCAGATTTATGAAAACAGACATGGGGGTGTTCAGCCTGGTAAGAATGAAAAGATCATCAGCGGGTGCTCTGTGGCATGGATCTACAGCAGATAGCCAGGCTTCTTAGCACTCCCATAGCTCACCTTTTCCACATTAGGAAAGGTATCATCAAATACCGCCAAATCTCATTTTGCCATCTTTAACTCCTGGAGGCATGCACCCCCTTTTTTCCCAGGTGGCCTGGATTAGTGCATTTTATTGGGAACATTCAGGATACACTGGCAATAAGCGAAAGCCCCACCCTAGGCAGCCTGGTGTTGCAGCTCACTGCTGTCACTTGCAGCATGCTCCAGCCTCAGCTTCCCAGGGCACTTAGTGCCTTCTGCCTGTTCCAAAGAGTGACGCCTATTGCTAACTCTACCTTTTCCTCATGCCCTTTCCTCTTTCTTGAATCCCCTCCACACATTCTCTCCCTCTATTTCTCCACGTTCCTTAAAGAGCTGCTCTAACTGGGTCTGGCAATGCAGGCCTGCATTCCTTGCTACTTAGGAGGCTGAGGCAAGAAGATTCCAAGATCAAGGCCTCCTTGAGCTACCAAGTGAGTTTGGGCCCCTGGGCAAGAGCACCTGCCTAGCATGCATGAAGGAGGCCCAAGGTTCAATGTCTAGCACTGAGGGAGGGATCAGCTCTACCCAGCCTCCTCCTAACCCTGACTATATGAGTCTTCGTCACATAGCATGATACTCTCTGGAGACCCTGGGATCAACTGCAGCTCCCTGTCAGCCGCACCATCACTGGAGTAAGCTGGAGTGCATAGTACTATGCTGCCAGTGTTTTGTGGATCGAGGTATTCAATAAACTGTATGTGACATTTCCTACTTTCTTATAAAATAGACTTTGCATTGGTAATTGTGCCCATTGTAAGCGAATGTGAGTGTTCTGGGCACGTTTAAGTTATGCTGGTCTAAATTAATGATTTTCTATAGGTTAGGTATGTCAAATACAATTTCAATGTGTATTTTCAACCTATGGCAGACTCTTGAGGAGGGTTCAGAACTACATCCTGAGTCAGGGCATGGCTTTCTTGTACTGCTGCTGGACCCTCAGGAGCAAGCTGCCTTTTGTTTACCTGAGGGAGGAAAATAGATTCTATAGAAGAAGAGAAACAGCACACCTACATGCTAGAGCAAGCTTCCAAGAAGACCACACCTCCCTGTAAACAGAAGGGTGGACCAGGTCTCTTCCGGTTTAGAAATGTACACTGCCCCATTCTCTTGTGTCTAGCCCTAGTCATTTCTGAATCTTTTGGTCTTTGGTCCTACAATAAAAGTATGTTGCCAGAATTTTACCCCAGCTATCCCTGAAACAGAAAACTCTACCTGATCTAGGGGACTTGAAGACAGAAAGAAAACTATTAGATTTTGTTCACACTGAAGTTGGCCAGGGCTGAAGGACAAAGTTGTCTTATCAAAGGAGGGTTTAGCTCACTGCCAAGTCAACTCTAGTCCCGTGGGGGGTGGGGGGGTCCTTTTCAAGCTGGAAGCAAAGAAGATTAGGCGGGGGTAAACTGATTGTGGTGTTGTTCTAAGAAGGCTGGAGCCTATTGTACTAGACAGACAGAAGGGTCAGTTAAAAAAGAAAGAAAGGGAAGGAAAGGGAAGGGAAGGGAAGGGAAGGGAAGGGAAGGGAAGGGAAGGGAGGGGAAGGGAAGGGAAGGGAAGGGGGAAGGGAAGGGAAGGGAAGGGGGAAGGGAAGGGAAGGGAAGGGAAGGGAAGGGGGAAGGGAAGGGAAGGGAAGGGGGAAGGGAAGGGAAGGGAAGGGAAGGGAAGGGAAGGGAAGGGAAGGGAAGGGAAGGGAAGGGAAGGGAAGGGAAGGGAAGGGAAGGGAAGGGAAGGGAAGGGAAGGGAAGGGAAGGGAAGGGAAGGGAAGGGAAGGGAAGGGAAGGGAAGGGAAGGGAAGGGAAGGGAAGGGAAGGGAAGGGAGGGAAGGGAAGGGAAGGGAAGGGAAGGGAAGGGAAGGGAAGGAAGGGAAGGGAAGGGAAGGGAAGGGAAGGGAAGGGAAGGGAAGGGAAGGGAAGGGAAGGGAAGGGAAGGGAAGGGAAGGGAAGGGAAGGGAAGGGAAGGGAAGGGAAGGGAAGGGAAGGGAAGGGAAGGGAAGGGAAGGGAAGGGAAGGGAAGGGAAGGGAAGGGAAGGGAAGGGAAGGGAAGGGAAGGGAAGGGAAGGGAAGGGAAGGGAAGGGAAGGGAAGGGAAGGGAAGGGAAAAAAAAAGCTCTTCTAAAATGTAGCCTGCTGCCTGAGCTAGAAAGGCACAAAAGGCCTCAGCAACTCACACTGCTACAGGGTTAGCCTCAGGCTTGCAGGCTCATACAGGTCTTTTGTTCTTAAGGTTTCTCTTCTGCAACTCAATCCTGTGTATTTGTCTCTTCCTACAACCGTCTCTGTCTCTTGGAGGTGCAGATGCCCCCCTAAGAAGGAAGCCGAACAGCCCTTTGAATAACTAGATTAGGGATGGTCTAACAGCCAACACTAGGTACAGTTCTGCTCCGTTAATAAAAAAAGTACCAAGCAAAACTTTACAGGGGAAGCTACAAGGTCGGGGGTGGGGATATAAGGGTAGCAGGCGGTGTGGGACGAGGGAAGGAAATGGCTACAACAGTTTATTTGAAAATGTTACAATGATATCGAACACCTTTCATGTTAATTTTTAGAAAGTTATTCCATACCAGTTCGAAAAAATTAAAAAGTAAACGGTACGAGGAAAGTTTCTTACATATCTATTTAACCCATCCCGTTCCCCAGCCACTGCGAGTTTGAGGTGTACACTTGACGCTCACTCATACATGCACATACACTCACATATTAGCACTCACTGTGCATACTATCACGCAAGTCGTCTCTCTTAAGCAACCCCACGCTTCGCTTTGAGTCAGCGGAGCACACTGGATACCGCTCTGTCGGGAGCGGACTAAGGTGGTCCCCTTCAACCGTTTTCATGGGCTATCCATGCTGAGGCGCACTTTACACCGGGGCCTCGCAGCCTGCACGCACTTGACTTCTCTGCTCTTTTTGTTCAATCTGCAGCTTGTCTGTGGACCTTCTTCATTCCCCAGCTATCCCTTCCCGATTCTTTAAAAAAAAAAAAAAAAAAAAAAGTTATTATCTCGTCGTAGCAAACCCGCCCGTTATTTCGGGAATCTGGGAAAGCATATAGGGGTTGAAATTTCACATCTGCAGTGTCGGAGGATCGCTAAGAGAGACCTGGCGGCGGTATAAAGAACCCTGGAGATGCTCTGGGGTGGAGGGGACTGTCCCTGCCTTCCAGCTAAAGCGGCTTGGACAACACGCGCGCCTTAGGAGGCCAGACCCTCTCCCCGAGTGCCGCGCCACTGCCACTGCCCCTCTTAAAATGCCCGGGTCACCCAAAGAGTCCCCTCAGTGGCTGCTACCGAGTGGCCACATCTCTCTCCGTTCTCTGTGACCTGCTCGGTGGCCCCCTTGCTCCTGCCCACTCCCACTCCCTTAAGTCAACGCACCTTCTTGCTGGGAGCTGGGAGCCCGCGCTGTCGCAGCGGCTGTCGGCTGTCCGTGTGCGCCCTCGCCTGGACGCTGAGCCTCGGCTGCAGCCTTTATAGGGCACCGCCCTTTGTCTGACCGCAGGAGGGGGGCTTTCTGCGGAGGACTCCCTCCAGTCCCTCCCCGTTTTGCCCCATCATCCCTCCCATGTGCAGCAGCCAAGGAGCAATGGAGGAAAGAGGGCCCCTCCTTTGTCTAAGGCTTTCGGGGAGGGGGTGCTGCTTCCAACCTCCTCCTTACAGACAAGCATCTGAAAGCTTCGAGCTCTTACTGACTCACCGGGTGCTTCTTCAAATTCCAGCGCAGGTGCAGTCGGATGCCCAGCTCCAGACCCTCTACATGAGTTTGGGGGATGCAGCCTGTGACCTACAATTTCACCAAGTGCCCCCAGGAAATGAAGGCGCACAACAAAGTTTAAAAGCACCACACTGAACAGATTGATGGATTTATTATAGGTCCCGTCTAGTTTTTCCTGTCAGTCAACACAGGGTATGGTGATTTCAGGGATGGAGAGACTCTACTCTTACCTCCTTCCTGTCCTGTATCTCCCAGGATGATCTGAGAAAACACCAGTCAGACCTCTGTCACTTCCGAGATCTAAACTCTCTGGTGGCTTTCCATTTCATTCAAAGTTAAGCATTAATCCGTGCGGTGGCACACATCTGCAAACCCAAGGCAAAGGGATGGGACATTTGAGGCCACCCTGGTCTATGTAGTGAGAGAGACGTTGTCAACAGACTAAAACAACAGAAGGAATGTGAGCTGCAGGCTTTAACTGGCCCCTGAGATCTCCATCTCTGGCCCCTGAGATCTCCATCTCTGGCCCCTCAGATCTCAACCTCTGGCCCCTCAGATCTCTACCTCTCGCCCCTCAGATCCCTATCTCTGGCCCCTCAGATCTCCATCTCTGGCCCCTGAGATCTCTACCTCTGGCCCCTGAGATCTCCATCTCTGGCCCTTGAGATCTCTGTCTCTTTCATCAACCTGTCCCTTCCTTCCCTGGGCTTCACTCCTCTCCAGAGACTCGGATTTGTCCTTTCAGGAATGCATCAGACACCCTCCTGCCTCCTAGCCTTTGCATCGATCCCTCTACCTAAAATGTGCTTCTCACAGGCTGTCCTTAGGAGTCCTTCCCTTCCCTTCCTTTACTGTGCATCAGGTCATTACTTGAAGCTTATGCCCTGCTCAGGCCCTGTGTGGGTGTGGAGAGTATAACTTCACACAAAACGAGACACAAACCCCTGCCCTCAAGGGACTGACATTCTTTACTATTTACTCAGATGCCACCTTTCCGGTGAAAAGCTTTACATTTTAAAAATTATATTTCTGCATTTATTGCCTTGGGTGCACCGAGGTGAATGTGGGAGGTCAGAGAACAGCTCTAGGGAGGCAGTTCTTTCCTTCAGCTATGTGGGTTCCAGGGATCAAATTCAGGACTTCAGATTTGGCAGCAAGTGTCTTTCCCCACTGAGCCCTCTCATCAGCCCATCACCTAAGAGCTTTTTCATACTAAGATTGTGCCTATACAAAGACACACACACACACACATACACACACACACACACACACACACACACACACACACACCAGAACACAGGCACAGGCCCCCACACACTTCATCCTTTGGTGTATTCTCAGAGCTTCACCACACTTAGTAATATTTACATATTTATCATGTCTTACATCTCTTCTATATCCCTCAGTACCACATTGAATAGATGTCCATCAAATGTTGCTTGATTAGTGTATGATTAAAAAACCAATCTCTAGGTATTTCTTTCTCTGAAGGTCCCAGGATTTGAGACAACAAATTCATAAATGCATTGCACCTTGGTGAAAAAGAGCAAATGACTCTGAGGTTGTATTCACCCAGATTGACATTTCTTGTTTATTCACTTGTAGGATGCCAGGCAAATTCCTAATCTTCTCTCTACTTCAGTTACCTTATTTGTAAAATGGCTGCAGTGCTGGAACTGTCAGAATCAAATAAGAAGGAAGAACAGGTAAGGCATTTAGGATCACAAGCACACATACCATAGTATTAATAGATTTTTGTTGTAGTTGATTATATTATTGTTACCACTACCTTCTAGTTCCCTTCTCTGTGAGAGAATTATATAGACCCTTCCACTGTCTGTGGAGGGGCCCCAAAATAGCTTGACCACACAGCAGCCATGACAGGCTTAGGGGCCTAGACACGGCTTCTGTGACAGGTTTACTGGCAGGCAACACCCAGATCCAGGAAAAGCCTTAAGGTGATACCACCCAGGGATCTACCCAGGGGTGAGGAAGCACCTGACATCCCAAATATTCCAACCATTAGATAAGGTGGCCAGATATCTTTGAGTCTAGCACACACCTATTTATTTTTTGTTGTTGTTTTACAGATAAACCTAGACAATTGTCAGCCAATCAGGGTCCTGGACCCTGGGAATCCCCTCACCCCAGCCTCTGCTATGATAAAAACTCTGGCCCACCTGAGCTCAGGGCTCTCTGCTCTCACTGCTGCATTGGACAGACAGAGGGACCAAGCTCCAGAGCTTGAAATAAAGGCTCTTTGCTTTTACATGTGGGATTTGGTCTCTGTGGTGGCCTTTTGGGGGTCCCAGAGATCTGGGCATAACACTGTCATGTGACCAGTAGCTCTGCATAGGTGGAAAGAATACACTTCCCTTCTCAGTGCCAGATTTGGTCATGTGCAAAAATCAGCCAATGGAATATGAACAGATTCTTTGGGATGTTCTGTATGGCAAATGTGTTGCTGATTAGTCAATAAATAAAACACTGATTGGCCATTGGCTAGGCAGGAAGTGTAGGCGGGACAAGGAGGAGAATAAAGCTGGGAAGTGGAAGGCTGAGACAGAGAGACACTGCCAGCCTCCACGATGAGAAACAGCATGTGAAGATGCCGGTGAGCCACGAGCCATGTGGAAAGGTATAGATTTATAGAAATGGATTAATTTAAGCTGTAAGAACAGTTAACAAAAAGCCTGCCACGGCCATACAGTTTGTAACCAATATAAGTCTCTGTGTTTACTTGGTCGGGTTTGAGCGGCTGTGGGACTGGCGGGTGAGAGAGATTTGTCCTGACTGTGGGCCAGGCAGGAAAACTCTAGCTACAAACAGATATGACACAGACCATGGAGAGAGGCTCCAGCAGGATGACCGCAGGCTGAGGCAGCAGTGAGAAAGTCATGCTTGAGGTTGTTCCTGCAGCCTGGGTACCATGGAGCAAACCCCAAACCACCCACAGCCCTAATGCAACAGGAGAGATCACTGCTGTGAGGCACTGAGACCTCGGGCTGCTTGTCACACCTAGGACTCCTTACCCTACACCCATGTAAACTCATAATTTTATTACAAACGGAGAAGATACTGTCTGGATTACAAAGCTCAGGTATGTGGGTAGAGCCAGAAAGGTGAAGGGGACATGACAGACTGAATACAAGATTGACAGTCCTCAGGAGCAGAGAAGGTAAACTCTAGTTAGGACAAGAGGTCAAAGATTCTGGCTGGATGACCAGGCATTATGTGTGGCAGGGATGGTATTTAGACAAGGCCTTGAAGCAAGGCTCCCATTGGCAATCGAGGACCTTAAAGGAAAAACGGAGACTCCTAATTCCTTCCTCTCTATTTTTTCCTACCCACAGCTCCATTTGTTTCAGTAAAGGGCCCTGTGTATTAGGTGGACTCCGATCCACAGACTTGGAAAGAGCCCCGAACCAACACTGAAAATGAGCTCGGTGCCTATTGTAAAGCAATTCAGGGTTCCCAAATGTCCAGGTTGTTGTCTAGAAGGTGGAGCATGGGTACAGTGTAGGCAGGGGAGGAGACCAGGAGCAGGGCTTCTAAAGTACAATACCCAGGACAGGGCCCTGGGTTCCTGGAATCTTGGAGGGGAGGGTAGAGGATAGGAAGACAACAGTGAGCTGCCAAGATGGGAACAGTAACTTCCGCTGGGACTCCAAGACCCATTCTGGTTATATCTTGAGGACGTAGTGGAGGGAAGAATAAGATGAGCTGGCCATTAGTGCCCAGAAACACAACCTAACATTTGCAGAAAGCACCTGTGGCCTGCTCCTCTTTCTGCCCCCTGCTCTTTCAGTGTGCTGTGCGAGAGAAATTGTTCCTAGGGTGTCCATGCTTTTCCCACTCTGTCCGATTATGTTACAGTTCTGACAGGCCACACCAAAGCTCATTATCCTTCACCTTAGCCAACATCTGTGAGGTGATATATTTCCTCAATGCCATGTTTTTCATTTGTAAAGAGAATTATGACAACTGGATGGCAGGATCCAGTGGATGATGCTAAGTGTAACAAGCTATAAAATAAAATCTGTGCAAGTGGACAGACACTCAGACAAAGCACAAAGACTCGGAGCATAAGTATGTTAGTATACTGGAAGAGGGTTGGCTTTTGTTCTTGAATCTTCTTAAATGTTACTGTTGGCTTTATGCTTTTGGAAGCCATTTGGGTACATCGGTTCCCTAGCAGTGGCTCTTCAGAGTGATGGGTCTGCTCCCATCCCATTCTCCCAGTGTAGAGCATTTAAAGGCTAGGTCCTGCAGTGGAAGAGGTTGGAGTAGGAATTTACATAATCCGATTATTGGGGGATTAAGTTTAGGCAGCTAAAAGCCTCTATGTGCTTGAGCTAAAAGGCTTACTATTCATGGCTCTCGCTGCCCCCTGGAGAGATGGCACCTGCAGAGCTCCTGGGGAAAGCCTGGGGGATGAGCAGGTCCCTAGGAGAGCCTGGTGTTGTCAGACTCCCTGATCCTGCTGCTTTAACTGATCTGCCTGGAGAAGCCTGTGTATACCAGCCTTCCAGTCCCCTATGCAGGGTTGTCAGGTTCAGGAAAAATGAGGGGTCCTTGGAGGTTCTGCCAGACCAGGTGGGTATGGGTGACCAAAGTAATTTTGACTAGAGGTTAAGCATCAGCCTTAACCAGTGTTAACCTTTCCTACTCACCCCCCCCCCATGCTAAACTCCTCTCTCAATCCTCAATTCATAGTTTCCAGGCATCAGCATCATATTTCTCTGCATCCAGTCAGTTATTCATCCCTGTTCCCAACCACACAGTATGCATGTGTTTATTTGTCATATGAATTAGCTAGTTCTTGATATGTAACAGAACTTACAAGCATATCCCGCTAGGCAGATATTTTTCTTTATGTATTCTAGCTCTTAAGTTTTGGCAGTTGGCCGTATAAATTTTGACCCAAGAGTCATCAATAGGGTTAAGTTTTTATTTTATTTCAATTTTAGGGACAAGGTCTTGCTATGATGCCCATGCTGGCCTGGAACAGATGATCATCTTGCCTCTGTCATAGATGTGTGCAATGACATCTGGCTGCTATTAGCCTCTAAAGTCTGTTTTTTCCTTTTTAGAAAGTGTTTTTTTTTTTAAAGCTTCATTGTATTATTATTACTGTTATTGACCATGGCTTGCTATTAGTTTCTAATGTTATTGTGGTGTACTCAAAAATGTACATAGTCTTTTTTTTTCTCTGAAATAGTTTTTTGAAACTTTTATTTTTGAAACAACATATAACCTATTTTTTTAATGCTTCTTAGTCACTATAAGAGGAGACACACTCCTTATTTGAAAGCTACCATGCTTTTATTGCTTTTATGTACCTCCATTAGGTCATTACTTTGTATTCTTGGAAGGTTTAGCCTAGTAGATTTGTGGAAACTTCTCTGTCTTGTATTTGTTCTTTCTCTTTTGTGTTTGTAGGAGTGTTGCTTTTGTTTTTCCAGAAGCTTCTCAGTAGACAGCCGTGGCCAGTAAGTCACTATGTAGACCAGGTAGGCCTATCTACCTGACTTTTATTCCCAAGTGTTGGGGTTAAAGGCAGGCAACATTAAGCCCAACTTGCTTTAGGTTTATAAGTCTTTTGATGAGCATCTTCTGGGGTTTAAAGGTGCACAGGAGTTCAGATGATCTAAAGAAATGTACCTCTAAACAATAAAGATGACCCTTTGTCAGCTTTCTGTCAAAAATTCTATTTTCTTTTAAATTTAAGTTATAACTCTTGTTTTTAAGTTTTTATTTCCAACTTAAACCATGCATTTTAACTTGAATTAAAAAAAAATTCATGTGGGGGCTGGAGAGATGGCTCTTCCAGAGGTCCTGAGTTCAGTTCCCAGCAACCACATGGTGGCTCACACTATCTATAATGAGATCTGGTGCCCTCTTCTGTTGTGTAGGCATACATGGAGGCAGAATATTTTATACATAATAAATAAATAAATCTTAAAAAAATTCATATGTGTGGGATGTGCATGTATGTGTATGCATGCTTGTGAACATGTGTGGGTAGGTGCATGGTACGTGTATATTTGCATGTGGAGGTGAGGTTGACATTAGGTGTCACCCTCATTTCACTCAAGGTTTCTCACTGAGCCCAGGGAATGATCACATGGCTAGTCTCCCTAGCCAGCTTGCTCTGATGACCCCATAACTACCTTCAAATTGTTGGGAGTACAGGCAGGCAGACAGATCTGAAATCCTGCCCTAACGCTTTACCCACTGAGTCATCTCCCAGGATCTGTGCTCATTCTTTACAGCTAATTTATTGGTCTGGTGTAACTCTTGGCCATGGAAACCTTTCATTTTCTTTTTCTTTTTCTTTTTTTTTTTTTTTTTTTTTTTGGTTGTTGTTTTTCAAGACAGGGTTTTTTTGTATAGCCCTGGTTGTCCTGGAACTCTCTCTGTAGACCAGGGTGGCCTCAACCACACAGAGGCCTGTCTCTGCCTCCTGAGTGCTAGGATTACAGGTGTGCTCCACCACCGCCCAGTGTAACTTTTCTTGGTAAATTTAAAATCCTTGTACCCCTTTTACAAAGGAGCCACCATGTCCATGCTGAGTTCTTCACAATAAATCTCAGTTTCTGTCACTTGCTACATGGTGAACTTCAGTAGATCCCAATACTTAACGCCCCCATTACTTAACCCTAAGCATCAGTATCACTCTAGGCGTTTCACTCAAGTTCTCTCATTAGTATGTTCTCTCACAAACAAACAAACAAACAAACAAACCAATATTTATATGAGTGTGTGTGGTGTGTGTATATATAATATGCATATATATAACATATATGTATATATACAACACATATATATATATTTGTGTGTTTGTGCATGTATGTGTGTGTTTGTGCGTGTGTGTGTGTGTGTGTGTGTGTGTGTGTGTGTGTACAGGTTACCAGACAAATTATAATTGTAGACAAAACAAAATATTATTCCTAACTAGGTGAAATTCCAAAACGTATACTCAAAGAAACAAAACTTGGGCATAGAGCTAACTCAGTTGAGTCGGCAGAGGCTGCAAGTTCTCTCTCGTTAGTGTGAACTGCTCCACTTACAGAATGTACCATGCAACTCTGATTGATTAGCTTCCATCTTCAGACCTCTTTCTGTTTCCTCAGGACAACACCCCCCAAATAAGAAGGGTAGCTATGGATGCAAGCAAGTGAGAGAGCAAACCAAGCCACAGAAGGGAAAAAGCATTGACCTGGCCCCCATCTCTGCCTGAGTGTGGGAGCAGAGGCAGAGGGCTGAGAGCTTTGGTCTGCTCTCTCAATGAAGGGGTTAGTTGTTTCACTGTTACCTTTAGACGTCTCTGAGTTAGAACAGAAAAGAGACGCTAGCATCTTCAAAGCATCTCTACACACAGAGCCAGTACTAGATGGGTTCCACATACACACCAGACAGGTAGAAGTACCCTCCAAAGAAGTCCCCTATAAAATAGGAGTAATAAATACTCATTGCTTTAAGATACTAAGGAATGGCACATGGGAGGCAGCTTACTGTGGTAGCTGAGAAGACTAGAGCTTTGACTTTAGAGGCAGACCAACTGACATTTGAACCACTAACGCTCACACAGCAGGCCGAATGCTTCCTCTCCCGGCCTCGGTTTTCTTAATTGCAAATTGTAAATATCAACTTCATGAGTTATTGTGAAGACTCAGTGAGCTATATGTGCTAATCGTGGGAAGTAAACGGTATGAGGGCTGAGGATGCAGCTCAGCTGGCAGAATGCTTGCCTAGCCCTGCCTTCCAACGCCACAGTGACAAACTTGATGTGGTGCTATAGGCCTGTAATCCCGATACTAACAGGGTGGAGACAGGAGAATCCAAAGTCCAAATTTATCCTTGGCTACACAGGGAGTTTGAAACCAAACTAGGTTACACAAAACTGTCTTAAAAAAAAAAAAAAAAAAAAAAAAAACAAAAAACCAGCTAGACTCCAGTACTCGTTCTTTTGTTTTAGGGATAGGGAAATCTAAGCACATGGCTCTCATTGTCTGCAGAGGGCATTCTGCATTGTCTCTTTGTCCCTGCTCAGCCCAGTGTTCTGCCCATCCTCCCCTCTGAGTAACTGGAGCAGTGCTGCTATGACCAGAATGTGGAAGAAGCAGAGGAGGGTAATGCCAGCAAGGAGAGCAAAGCTTCTACTGAACACCAGGCTGTTCACCAATTACGTTCGCTCTCCAGGACCCAGGCTGACATCTCCTCGGCAACACCCACACTTCCACATGCACACACAGAAAGTCCTCCCTAAGACACCTGCTGTGGAGGCCTGGGGGGTATTTCTGTCCAGAGCAAATGTTGACTACTGAAGCATAAAGTGGGGCGTGTAACTGGCTCAAGTGAGTGGGCATTTTTCCCATAGTTTACCAGTTAGAGGGGCACACAGCCCTGGGTGTGCCCAGCTACCTGCTAAACTCTCAAGACAAGACTGGCCTGGCCTTAACTCTGTAGGTGTGGAACAGTGAATGCTTCTATTTTTCAATCAATAAACCCAAGAGCAGGGATGAAAATGAAAGAAGATGGGGTGGGGTGGGCAGAAAGGTGTGGGTGGGGTGCTGTCCCCTTTTTATTCGCTGCTCTTGGTATAAGAACATGACTCATCAATTGGTTCCCTGGACAGGATTTAGAGCTCTGTGGGCAGCTGATAAGAGTGCAGCTTAGGTGTAGAAAGTAAATACATTGAATATTCCCCATAAAGTCAATAGTGTCAGGCTTATCAGCTGCCCTCACTCCCCACTCAGTCCCCAGGGGACCAGACTTGAAATAAAGGCCACAGTCCCAGGGGCAAAGAGTGGAGGTGCCTGGTTGAGCTGAGAGGGGCCTCTGTGCCCCCTGGGTTGTGTTTGAGGCAGGTGGGTGAAAGCTGCCGGGCACAAGCTGCTCAGAGGCCCCGGTTTTCCAGACTGACAAATCCCAAACCAAACACACACACCAGGCCAGGAAAGCAGCACCTTCTTATCCTCCAATCCAGCCAAGGTTTCCAGGAAGCTTCTTAGGAAAATGAGAGGATGTCACTTTAAATCCGATCTGCAAAGACCCACAAAGAAAACAGATCAACAAAGAAACCTTGCTTTCCCACCAGGGTTCTCACCTCTGCCTTTCATAACAGGTATTAATGCCTACTTCTGCCCTCCTCAAGCATGTATCTGTCTTTTTAACCAGTGAAGATTTGACAGCTTTGCAAATGGCCTGAAATAAATGTTACCAGCCTCTGTTTCAGATCCATTTTGAAGACTCACACTAATGGAAGTGGTCTGCCTTGAGCCTCAGCTTTCACTGGCTGTCTCTATGCTTTTGCTGGATTCTAGCCTGGCCTGGTGCCATTTGCTTGTGATAAGTGTTTGAGCTCTTTCTGGTTGGGGTAGGAGTCTCCCCGGCTGGGGGGAAATGGGCATGAATGAAAACAAGATGGATTTAGTCCACCTGATTTACTAGGGCTCACATAGAGTAGCAGAAGTAAGGTCGATGGTTAGTCTCAACTACCCACCCCCAATACTAATGAGTGTGCGGTTTTAGGGGGTGAGAATGAGGACTGAGACCCAGAATTTATACTCTGTACTGGGCATCTCTTTATAAGTCCTTCCCTGTCTGCTCTCCAACTGAAAGCAGCAGGTCCCCAGCCTCCTCTTCACATTGCTACACTGTGATGCATGGGCCCAAAATGAACTGCAGGGCTTCCTTGTTACTCTACTCTTACCTTTCAAAACTGTCCTTCTCACAACCCTGAATCCTGCTAACAGCTTTCTTGCCCCCATTCAACTAACTTCTACAATAGTTTTCAAAGGCCTGTGCTAATTCCCAGAAACCCTCTGGACAAGAACCTGCCTCTATGCTTTTGAGCAAGATCGCCATCCAAGCCTCCCTGCTCAATCTAGCCATGAGTCATTTTGAACTTGGACCCCCTGTTTGTGGCTAGAACTGGTGGGATATTCCTAGGACTGACCTTTTCTAAGCCATTAACGCTCACCTGGCTAAGCACCACTTGGGATTCTAGTCTACGATCTCAGCAACAGATGCTTGTGAACTGCCAGGTGGGTGCTGGAAATGGAACCTGCCTCCTCTACAAGAGCAACAAGTGTTCTTAACCGCTGAGCATCTCTGCAGCCCCCCATGGTTCTCGTTTTGAATGCATGCTGTATGTATTGTTTTTCTGAGACATATTTTCAACTCAGTAGTATGGGCACCCTTCAGGATAAAATTTAAAGGAATAATCTTGTCTCAGCTCTTAGAAGGCAGGTTTTTAGGTTACTGTTTTTGTTTTTAATTGTATGTTTGTGTTAGGGGTAGGGGTGCACCACTAGTCCAGCAGCAGCATGTAGAAACCAGAAGCAGACAGTGGGTGTCTTCCTCTCCTGCTCTCTCTCTTATTTTTAAAGGCAAGATCTCTTACTGAGCCCAGAGCTGACTGACTAGCCTGGCTGGCCCACCAAGTTCCTAGACCCACCTGTCTCTGCTCCAGCTCTCAGTGCTAGCCTTTCCCAGCTTTGTGCTGCTCCTTGGACCCAAATTGGAGCTCTCATCCTAGGAGCACAAGCACTTACCCACTGAGCTATTGCCTCAGCTCTTGCTTGGTTCTGCTTCGGTCTTTTATACTGTAGGTTACAACCTTGCAAAGGTTTTGTTTTTTTGTTATTTTTTTTTTTATTTTCCCTCCTTACTGGAGATTGGACCCAGGGCCTCATGCATGCTCCCTAGACGTGTGTGTGTGTGTGTGTGTGTGTGTGTGTGTGTGTGTGTGTGTGTGTGTGTGTGTCTGTGTCTGTGTCTGTGTCTGTGTGTACATTGTAGATGTCTCATATTACATTTATCAGAATAATACTCTAACAGCTAGTCTTATTGTTGCTGGGTTTCATTCTGCTGAAGAAGCTATCTTTCCTTCATAGGATAGCTTTAGCACATTCATGTGGGTTGTTTTGCTTTGCATGGATGATCAGTGTCCATCCTTCGCAAACACTAATGTCTCGATTCCAGCATTAGATTGTGAGGACCCTGATAAAGAACCACACTGACTAGGTGACTTAAACAGTAGATAATTCCTGTGTTCTGGAGCTGGAAATCCAAATTAAGGTGTTGCAAGTTAGTTCCTTCTGTAGGTTCCTCTTCCAGGCTTGTAGACGGACACCCTCTTCCTGTCCACACGCGGTACTCTCCTTATGAGTCATTCCTGTCCCAGTCTCTCTTACAATGACACAGTCGCCACTGGATTAGGATTTGCACATGCAAACTCCATTGTACCTGAATTGTCTATTAAAAGGTTCTGTTTCCACATCCCATAATATTGTGCATACTGAAAGTTAAGGTGGGACTTCAATACCTGAATTTTAAGTGTGCTCAGAACAATCAGATAGTATAAATTAAATGTACTGTATACTTTTACAATTTTTCTTTTTGTCTTTTTCCTTCTTACTATACTTACAATTTTCTATGTAAAACTTAATATTGGACAGAGTAACTAATTGTACCATCACTATAAGAAGTTATGTGAGAATTGGGGTAGAGGATGGGATGTATGGGGTCTCTCTCTCAGAGCAGAGGTAAGAGGCACCCAGGGATTGCGAGCTGTATTATTTCTCTTTTCTCTGGTTCTGTTCCCAGCCTCCCCCTGCACAAAGAAAGCAGGGGTCATTCACCCCAGAAGCCTGGATGCTGAGATAGACTCCCTGCCCAGCATGCTGGATGGTCTGGACATGGGTGGCAGTCATGTTCTCCCCATCCTAACTTTATAGCATGCCCCCAACCCCTTTTTACTATGCAAGATCTCTGATACCCAGTGGAGGTGCTATTCCACCCCTATGGCCGAACTACCTGGTCTTTCTACACTACCACCAGACCCAGCTGGTCCTGCTTTCTCTGTAACGTCAAGGTGGCTCTGAGAGCCTGTAGATGGTCCAGGTGGGGTCTTCTCCTAGGCCCTGGTGAAGTCTATGGGGATGGCTTTAGGAGCCACCAGGAGCCAGGACCACAAGGGAAAGATAAAGTTGCTGGAGTACATAGCACTGTAGGAGGAAGAAAGGCAGTTAGGGTACCAGCCCCAGGTCATGACTTTCAGAATAGGAGCTGGAGATACTGCCCAAGAGATTGGTGCATGGCATGAGCCACCTGATTAGAGTGGTAAGTGTTGTGGAGTATTCACCAGAGAAGACTGCTCAGACATGGGTTTAAGCCAATAGAAAGTCTTTATTAGCCAGCTGGCTTCTACACTGGGTGTTCAGGATCCCAGTGTAGCACTGAGCCTTTCTCAGGGTGAGCTTTTAAGCACAAAAAAACATGTTCTGGGTTGACATCTTTAGTTAACAAGAACACTTAGCCAGAAGTAGAACTACAGAAGCCAAAAAGTGAGGTTAGAACATTTAGAGACTTTCTCATAACTGTGGACGTAGATGGATTAGGTCTTTGTTTTCATTTTGTCAGGTGGTACAGTCGACATGTTGAGTTTATGGGCTGAATGGTACTTCTGCTATGGAGTCAGTTGTGCTAAGGTCTGGGACCCTGTTACAGTAAGCCTTCTGAATGGTCTAAATGATCCAGGCTAGGATGAGTTCAGAGAATGCAAAACACTTCTCCAGGGTGGCCACAGAGCAGCTTTCACAGTAGGCTGGCCTGGCACAGCACAGGGATGATAGCCTGAGATTTGGGGCCAGCAGGTAGAATACACAAAACACCCAATATGGAAGGCATGGTCTAGTGTAGCTAGAGTTTTCCTGCCTGGCCCACAGTCAGGACAAAACTTTGTCACCTGCCAGTCCCACAGCTGCTCAGACCCAACCAAGTAAACACAGAGACTTATATTTCTTACAAACTGTATGGCCGTGGCAGGCTTGTGCTAACTGTTCTTACATCTTAAAATAATCCACTTCTATAAATCTATACCTTGCCACGTGGCTCATGGCTTACCGGCATCTTCACATGCTGCTTGTCATGGCGGCGGCTGGCAGTGTCTCCTCCCACCTTCCTGTTCTCTCAGTTCTCCTCTCTGTTAGTCCCACCTATACTTCCTGCCTAGCCACTGGCCAATCAGTGTTTTATTTATTGACCAATCAGCAACACATTTGACATACAGACCATCCCACAGCAGTCTAGGGCTACAACCCAGGCTCAATCACCAGCCACATCTCAGCAGCCACCACACAGATCAGAATATTGGTGGTGTGTCACCATAAACCCGATGGAATCCCCTTCATAGTGGATGCCATCATCCAGATTCATGCCGAGGACTTGGTATTAGAAATCTGCTTCACAATGCTCAGGGTGGGGTGGGCCATAATGCTGGAACCAGAAGGGGATGGTGGGAATTGTTGATCTGGACAGTTTTCACATTGGCTGTTAAAAGCCTGAGGAATGTGGGCTACTGCTGTCCTCAGAGGACAAGTGTCAAGGGTGCTACGCTCCAGGTGGCTACATCTTATGCAAGGTTTGCAGTGTTTGGCACATCTAAGGGCTGTAAGTCACCAACACCACCAGCTGTCAACTCTACAAACCAGCATCTGCGGGGATCTCAGTACCCACCCATCATCACCCTGACATCTACCTTTACAAGTTGTCACCTAATGCCTTTCCCCCTCTTCATGAAACAACAATCTCTATAGTTTTTTACTTATTTCTTTTATGGGTTGGATTCACTTCTTGTTCAAGAAAATATCAAATGGGTGATGTCTATGTGGCAGTAGGTCCCAGAGGACAGAGGCCCATGCTTGGGAGGATTCTAAAGCTTTCATAGAGGATATAGTGGTGAAGACTGGAGTCAAGGCTGTGGGGTTTTGGAGGCAGAGCCAAAGACAAGAAGTCGCCAACTTATGTCCAGTGGTCTAGGATATGAAGATCAAGTCCCTGAAGATCTACCTGTTCCCTCTGCCCATCCAAGAACATGTGATCACTGACTTTTCCCTTGGAGAGTCCCTTGATGAGGTTCTGATGATCAGGCTGAAGTGACTAGGGCTGGCCAGCTTTGTAGCCATGGTGGTCTACAATGGTTATCATGGCCTGGGTGTTCCTACTCAGACCCTCCTATGGAGCCAAGATTTCCATTG